CCTCGGCTGTGCAGCTGGGAGTGTGGAGCTTGTCCCCAGACATGCATGCACGGAGATGGGGCTTATCTACAGACAGCTCTGCGCTGGGCGACTCCCAGTCGGGCAGTGCGCCCGCAGGGTGCTGGGCCGAGCGCTCCCAGTCCCCCGCCTGGCACGGGACGTGCTCTTTGTCCCCTGCTATCCCGGGGTGGAAGCTGGACTGCTCCTGCTCTGCATCTCTGCTAGCAGGCATGTCCCCAGGCATGCCAGCGTGGAGAGGAGGGAGGTCCTGGCTTCCAGGTGCACCCGGTGGGTGGTTCTGCTCCCCGGGTGTGCTGCTAGCTTGGAACTCCTGCTCTACTGGTGCACCGGGTTGGAAGTGCAGTCGGTTCTCGGGGAGACCAGTATACAGGTGGAGCTTGTCTGGAGCACCAGCAGAGAGATGGAGCTTTTCTAGAGCTGTGCCAGCTTCAGCCTCTCCATAATTTGTGCTTTCAGCATGAGCATCTCCTGGCCTTTTCTGGGACTGAGCGGATGCTTGCTGCGCGGACTCGGCTAACGCTAGGGCTAGCATGCGCGCTGCGTTTTTCGGAGGAGGAGGAGGGATAAGAGACACAGAACTGACAGGAACAGGATCCTGGGGGGAGTCGAGGGCAACTGCTCCTAATGGGGGGAAAATTGAGAGAGAGAGTGATTTTATGTTACCCAATAAGGAGAGTGACCTAACCTTTAACGACTAGCATAAAAAAATAGATGCTCTCCACACTTTCACAGTGGCAGTTCCTTCTGATGTGAAACACTCTATCTTCTGTCTCACATGCAAATGCTGCTCAACAGCACAGCAGTTCAGCACAAAAAGGGAAAAAAAAAATACACAAGAGATTGTCTAAAGGCTCCTCTTGCATTTCTAGAGAGGTAGGAAGGAGGTAGCAGAGAATGAGATACCCTTAGCCAATTTTGATCATAAGGTTTTAGGCGGAAAGGTTCCCTTCTTCCAGTGTTGGCAGAGGTTTAATTTAACAAAGAAAAGTCTTAGATGGTCTATTGGCTGAAATGATTGAGAAGGGCATGCTTGAGATTTTTCACGCATGACAGGATGGGGGAGGGAAAAAAAAAAAAGTGGTATATAAAAGCATTATGGAAAATTATCCAGAGATTTGTGTGATGTAGGGAGAAGGCAGAGGGTAAGACCTTACTGATCTGCACAGCCCTGCAAGACACTCGTGACCAGAACTGACGGGCAATCCCCTCTCCTAAAGGCACGCAGAGGAGGAAGGTTCTGAGAGCAGGTCCCCTCTGGAACTTAAAGAAAGAATGGAGGAAAATGCACTGTACCTGGCTGTGTGTGTCCAGTGGGTACAGTCTTATTCTGACTGCTTGACATGGGTCTCTCCCCTTCTTCTGGCAACTCTGGTTTGCCAGCAGCCACTAGCTGGGCATGCTGCAGCTCTTGGTGGGCTCCTTCCCCTGCTCCTGTGTCACTGTTTTTCAGGGGCAAGGACATCTGGGTTGGGGACCTGTTTGTGATCTCAGTGATGCCAATCCCTTTGCTCCAGCTGGAAGTGGAGGAGTTCCTGGGTGGGATGGGCACTCCTCCGACGGCTTCTGGCCCGCGGCCGGGCAGAGCGAAGGACGCAGGTTCTGTGGTCAGTGGAGGGGACTTGAGAGGCTTCCTGCCCGTCTTGGGGGAGAAGGTGAGGGGCTTGCAGGCCTGCTCTTCCGTGGGGCTCAGGTCCATCGTGAAGAAGGGACTCATCTTCTCCTGGAAAGGGGAGACTGGCTCAGAGCTCGTGGCACTGCCTGGGGTCTGGGACTGGCTGCCTGATTCTAAATCCTTCTTGAGCAGACTCGACTTCTCCTTATTGATGCCAACTGACTCCAGCAGGGAGGTGCTGCTATCCAGGCACTCGGACTCTGCTTGGGGTGGGCTGCACTGAAATGACATTGGGTCAAAATCCAGGCTAGCGACTCCGATGTCCGGTGGGCTCAGGTCAACATCTTCAGAAGACCGAGGGGATATCAGGGCAGGGACGTGGATCAGCCCCTCGTCGCCGTCGCTGTCGTCGTGGGGAAGGTTGTCGTAGGAATTGCAGCGATTCATGTTGCCCAAGAGTTCTCCGTTGAAGGAGGCAGAGAGGGCATCGCTGCTGGACCTGGGTCTCCTGGGCCGGAACAGTTTGGATTCACCTGAGAACGAGGAGACACCTGTGGGTTACTGAGGTCTCACTGGTGGTGGTAAAGCAGTGATCTTAAAGCAGCACGAGGCTCACCTGGTGACCTCTGCACACAAAAGTAATATAGTTAGCAGTAACTGTACATGACGCTTGCTAAAACTCTTTTACAGCAGTTCCGAGGTCTGATTTAGTCTGAATCTAAGCTGTGTGCATGAGCAAAACCAGTTTAAATGTGCTGTAGGCCTAAGGCTTTCTCACAGAGCATTTTTCTTCATAATGTTGTCTTGTCAACCTCGGAATAGATAAGGGAGAGAAATGGCAAGGGATGAATGTAAGTAGTGGCAGCTATACCAGAGCAAGAGGTTGGTTTTTTTAACCTCGGAAGAAGCATAAGCCATGAAGAGCATTTCCATGACACTCATCTGTGCTGTCCAGGCTTTCCCTGGAGGGGTAGAAAACCTGCCCTGGGGAATATCTGTGGCCAGAAATGCCAAACTGCCTCTTTAACCCCCAGGGATTCAGGGGCAGGGAGGGTTTTGCCTTACCATCCACAGCGTGCAGAGAGGTGAGTGACTCCTCACTCTTCGCCGAGCGCAGAGTCCCACTGTCTCCTCGTCCACCTGGGGGAAACAACCCACACAGGGAAAGGTTGAATTAGGAATGTGGTTTCTAGTTGGCTGTGTAGTGATGGCAGGAAAACACAAATGGGTTCCTAACAGCAGGATCACTGTCCTGAGAGGAATTTTGTGTTGGGGATGGGTATTTTTGAGTTTTACTCAAAAGCCCTTCAAGAAAACCTTTGTCCTGTTTTCCTGTTAACATGATTTGCTGCAAAGACAGATGTAGTTCTGTTTGGCACAGGACAGTCTCCAGCCCATGATTCCATACTGCTAGGCATGAGGCAGCTCCAAAGGAGTGAATTATTTCTGATCCTCATTTCAGAGACCAGGGAGAAATAACCTACCCAAATGGTAACTGCAGCAGGTTGGGAGATGACTCCCCACATCATCCTGCTCCAGACTCTGTCTGGATGTACCTGTGATACCTCACTGGCTTCTCCCAGCAAGCAAAACCCCTCAAAAAGAGGGAAGGAAGAATTACACAACTCATTTTCTGGGCACAAGTACAACTTCAGTCTCCAAGGAGACAGTCTCAAAGGACAGAGAGTGTGTGAGGACTATGAGGGTTATACTTTGAAGATAGGATGAAAGTTCTCACTGGCCCACGTTCTGGGACTTGTGGTGTGTTTTACTGCAAGACCACATTGTTGCTATTTTTAAATTTGGAAAGAGACAGTAAATCATCTATGGAAAAGGCTGAGAATTCAGCCTACATATCCTGGCTGTGGATCCAAAGGGTCGTTGGATGTGTTCTCATTACACTGGGACAGCTTTCAGGGTGAATGTGCTGGTGGGAAGGTGCCTTTCCCTGCTTTCATCTTTTGAGAGCAGCACAGGCAGCCAGAACTGTATTCTCATTCCATATTGAGAGTGGCAGAAGGAATGATTCCGAGGTTGATTACAGCAGCACCCACATATTGTCACTGCAGAGCTGCTGGGAGCAGAGCTGTGAGCTCTGGCAGGCTATGAGATCCCTTTGGGAAAGAGCAGCAAACTGGAGGTGTCATGCATGGCTTGGACACTAGAAGGAGATAAAAGCACACTGGAAAAGTGAGTCTGCACTGCTGCAACCTGCAGCTTTTGGAAGGGGCCTCACCTGCCAGGGCTATGGCTTTCATTTCCGAGGGCTCGCTGGGGTTGCGCTGCAGTTTGCGCTTGGACACGGAGGAGGATTTGCCCAGGTTGAAGAAGGAACGCCAGCTGCCAACTGGGGATTTCTTCATCTTGCTGGGAGGCCTTTTTCTGGGGGGAGAAAATGTAGCACATGGTTGGAGGGGGAAGCTGTGTGTAGGTCCTGCTGCTGGCTGTTTTTTATTACCACTGCTTGGTTTGTGCTTAGAAACTCCAGGTTGCTGCTTAGGAACTTGGTCTGTTTTCAATAGCTCTGAGGATGTTCTCATTCTTAGAGCTCAGCCCTATAGCCTTGCTGGGTAAATTCCACCAAACTCTGCAAAGCAGGTGAGTAAAGGCTCTGCTTGTCCAGCACAGCAGCTAAGGGATGAATTTTTCTGCCCCAGTTCTCTGAGGAGCTGTGCAGCCATAAAGGTATTCAAAAGCATCT